CTCATAAATGCATTCTCTTTGGGATCCTCAGTAATTTTTAAGAGTGTAAAGACACTCTGAAACTAAAAAGTCTGAGAACCACTTTTCTGGCCCTTCCCTGCCTCCTCTTATTTCAGGAGGCATGTTTATTTCTAATCTTGACCCTTTTTGTGTACTCATGATGTGACTAGGTGTTCAGGAAATGTTTCTTGCATGAGTGAGTATTGGTTTTTGAGTTGCCACTTATTCTTTTTTTTTTAAATTAATTAATTAATTTATTTCTGGCTGTGTTGGGTCTTCGTTTCTGCGCCAGGGCTTTCTCTAGTTGCGGCGAGCGGGGGCCACTCTTCATCCCGGTGCGCGGGCCTCTCACTATCGCGGCCTCTCTCGTTGCGGAGCACAGGCTCCAGACGCGCAGGCTCAGTGGTTGGAGTTGCCACTTATTCTTAACAGTGTAATTCCTGTCTGCTTTTAGCCACGCTGTACTTTGATATAATGAGATGGTTAGATTCCTAGCCTTCTGGATCTGTGTTCTCTATATTAGGGCCAGGTCATGAACATTTCCGTGATGCTCCCCGCCCTGACCATCCCCCTCACGACGGTCATTCCCCAGCTAGCAGAGAACGGTCCTCTTCTCTCCAAGGCATGGACATGGCATCCCTACCACCCCGAAAGCGCCCCTGGCATGATGGGCCAGGAACCTCTGAGCATAGAGAAATGGAAGCCCCAGGGGGTCCTTCTGAGGATCGAGGAGGCAAAGGTAAGTGAGGCCGGTGATTTCAGCTCGGGAGCTACGGATGCCACAGCCCTGCCGAGAAGGCTGCAGGGGTCACGGGGAGCCTCCTCTCCGGGCCAGCCCCATCCCAGTGTATGCCTGTTCTGTCTGTCCCCGACTGGGGTACCGGGGGTCCTTTCTCCACTCTACCCTCCAGGGCTTAGACTGTGCAAAGGCACATGTTCCTAGCTGCGGTACAGCCAGTTGGAGCTCTCAGTGGGTGACTGCAAGCTCAGCCTCTACGCAGTTCTCCTCCTCTTGCTTCCAGGAATCTCTGGTTTGTTCACACTTTCCACTCCAGCTCTCTTTCAGATTGCCCCAGTACTTTCTCTGCTGATCTGTGAGACTCTGGCTCTAATTGGCAGCTGTGCTCTCTGGTAGTGGCTGCTCTGATACCTTGAAGGGTGTCCCCAGTGGCAGAAAGAATTGTCCTCTCTCAGGTTCTGTGGTTTTTTTTTTTTTTGGAGTCTGAACCCAGGAGGAATTTGGCTTATGCCCAGAGTCACAAAGACTTTGGGGAATATGGTCTGGAAGGGGTTTTCTTTTCAGGGGAGCAGTGGATTATTTCTACTACTTGAAACTTTGGACCTTTATTTTAGAGGCAGCACTGACTTTTAGCCCAGAGCAGTAGCCACCAAATGCTAACTACAGCTGTGGTCTCAGGTTGGGCTGGGCCGTTGCACATGTGGTGTACTTTGGAGGCTGCTGGAAAGACTTGTGTGCCTCAACCTGTGCTCCACTCCTCAGTTCACCTGCCTCGTGGCTGTAGTCCCTTCATTACAAAGTTCTGCCTTTTGTTCTCGGTAGTTCCGTTCTTCTCAGTGCAGAGCCCTCAGAAATTACCTCGTGTCACCAGTAGATCCCCCCACCCAAGCGCTCATTTTGTTGCCGGTTGGGGTGGGCACTGGGGACACCTTTGTAGGTCCAGGGCTGAGGCCACGTGGCTAGTGTGGAAATGATGTCCTAGCTGACAAATTCTCTGCCAAGGTACCTTCGGGTGGTACTCAGCCAGGGCACCTAGGCTGAGCTTTGTAAGAAAAGAAGCCAAAATGCCTTTGGCTATTTTGGCTAGCTTTCCTCACCTCCTTGTCTTAGCTGGATTCAAATTCCATTCAAAAATTTAAGACGAAGTTGGCAGTAGTCTTCTGATAATGCATTATGGGAGATGTGTCCAAATCCGATCATCTCAAGACAAAAAATCTTAAAGGTCAGAATCTTAAAAGTCATTAAGATACCTAGAGGTTTGTGTGTCTTAAGTCTGATACAAATAACAGCATCCCTGGGAGAAGCACTAAAAGCCAGTGTTTTTCTTTTTGTGCTTTTGTTTTTCAAGAAATGTTTTATCTCATTATTTAAAAGGAAATCAAAAGTGCTATATAGTTGTAGGATAATCATAGTAAACACTTATCCTGGTTAGAGCAATTGTAATAATTAACATCATCAACAGTTTGTATTTCTTAGTTGCTTCCAATGTTAAGTCAGTGCTTTTCAAACCTTCCCCTGGAATACCCCTGGTGGCGTAGGAGGGTGAAGATACACATCTCATGGACCGTAGGCATGGTCCATATGATCGGTGACCTCCAGGAGGTGCTCCGTGTTTATCTCTTGGCTCCCTGTCAGTTCCGTCATAGCCGCGGGGAACACGTGTGTAGGTGAGGCTGAGGGGTGCACAGCCACAAGACAGGGCAGGAGTGAGATGGTGGTCCAGAAAAGCAGAGGCACAGCTTTCAGTGCTCTGAGGGCTGTGCTCGTGTCCTCAGAACTCTGTTTTTTTTTTTCAAAAAAGAAGTGTTCCACTGTCGGTCATCATAGAGTAAAAGTTTGTACCAGGAGTTGTTAACAGTCTCTGATGGAAAAAAAAGTCACATGTAAAACCATTATTTTGTTTCAGGCCGAGGGGGCCCTGGACCTTCTCAGAGAGTGCCAAAGTCCGGACGTTCCAGCTCCTTGGATGGAGATCACCATGATGGATACCACAGAGATGAACCTTTTGGGGGCCCTCCAGGCAGTGGTACCCCTTCTAGAGGGGGCCGGAGTGGCAGTAACTGGGGTAGAGGGAGTAACATGAACTCTGGCCCGCCAAGGCGAGGAGCTTCAAGGGGGGGTGGAAGGGGTCGGTAGAAGCTGGGGCTCAGTACCCCTCGGCCTCTCTGGACAGTATTTAAGAACTTCTGTGGACTTTCCAAGAGAAACAAAAGGAAACCTGCACCGTGTAGCCCTGAACTCTTTCTGGGGCAGCTGAATCCCAGGAGCCCCTGACGTCTTCAAGGTGAAGAGACTGCTGCCAGAGTAGCTGGCTACCCAGAGTAGCTGGCTACCCAGAGTAGCTGGCTACCCAGAGTAGCTGGCCTTGTTTTGTCCTGTCCACCCACACTGCCCTAAATCCCATGTGGGCTTGTGAAGATAAGAGCTGGAATTTTTTTTTTCTTTTTTTTTTTAAAGTGTCACAAGACATGGAACCTCCACAAATTTAAGTTCATGTCCAATTGGAAATTTGTTTCTATATGTACAGTTTGTCAGAGAAAAAGTTGTTTTTGTATGAATACAGAATGTGATTTACGCAAGAATTAACAGAAAACAACTAGTCGTCAAGTGCTTGCCTTAAGGAAACCCTTAGCTTCCATTGCATCTGGTCTGCTGAGGGGGGTACAATTATTGCTTATATTTGTGAGCATACTTGATGGGAATCTCTAAGTCATCTAAAGTCACCTGTGAACTTTTTGTTTTTAAACAAGTTCTTATCTAGCCCTTCTGTCACACTTATTTTTGTAGTAGCGTGAAAAATACTTCAAAACTATAACAAGGTTTGAAGTAGATTCAAAGCCTTATAATTAGTTAGATCTACTCTGGCAGATGGAAGATTATACACCAGAGGAAAAAAAAATCTGGATGTCCAAGTAGGGGTCTTCCTTGGCTGCATCCCCTAGTAATCACACCGTAGACTTGCATTGCCTTTTTCTGAAGAGAGGAACTTGACATAAACCAGAAATCAACTACACATACCTTCTGAATACTGTAAATCATTTCACAAATGGTTCTAAGTTGAAAAGGAATGGATCAAAATATCTCTTAAAACAGTTGTGCAAAACTTAAATAACTTCTTCCTCTTCCACACTAGCTATGTGGAAACACCAGTGTTTAAGGCAGAGGATTGTTCCAACTTAAAGTAAGCCAGGAAGTTCTCATCCACAACAAGTTCCTTTAGTTTTAAATAAATGGAACATTTGGCGCAGTTTGAATTGAAAGCCAAAAGTTCAGTTTGAGATAACCCCAGCATACTTTCTATACTGACCCCTTACTTTGTTTTTATAAAAAAGAAACCTTTTATTATTCAAAGGACTGTCCTGTGGCCACCCTAACGTCTCATTACTTTGCCAGCTTCAGTTTGGCATAGGAGAAAAGTTTCCTTGACAAATTTAGTGGTGCTGGAAAGTGTCAGTACTTGCTTAGGAAAGGGATACTGACATAGTTGGAGAGTATATAAAAAAACTCGTAACTGATTCTCCATTAATGTAAAAAATGGTAAGTGCTAAGTTATCTCTGCAGATAAAATGTTGACACCACACACACTGCTTTTTTAGGGTGTTAGAACCTAGAGACTACAAGAGATTTTCTCTTTACTTTGCGATTTAAAACATCCTATTGATCAGCACTTTGCTCTAAACACACGTTTAGGAGACTCAGGATTGCTTTAGGTTTGAGGATATTCTTTTTTTTTTTTTTGCGGTACGCGGGCCTCTCACTGTTGCGGCCTCTCCCGTTGCGGAGCACAGGCTCCGGACGCGCAGGCTCAGCGGCCATGGCTCATGGGGCCCAGCCGCTCCGCAGTATGTGGGATCTTCCCGGACCGGGGCACGAACCCGTGTCCCCTGCATCGGCAGGCGGACTCTCAACCACTGCGCCACCGGGGAAGCCCTGAGGATATTCTTTATTTGCCCTCCACTGGTATAGCTTAAAAAGAAGTTGTAATCAAATTCTAAGAAGCTCAAAAGGGATCCAGAGAGCAAATCCATACAGAGATTTAGGCTTTTTTCTGAGATTTATGTGGTAAGAACTTTATCATAACATTCCAAGGCTTTAACTTGAAAAACACAACCTCAGTAAGCAGATAACCAGATCACATTTTGAGAATGAATTCATTTAGAGAAAACTGAAAACTCAGCATTATATATTCATTAATTACTTAGTAATGCATTACTTAGTAAGTGATGCATTTTAAAGTATCACTGTCAAAACACATACCAGATGTTGTGCTTTGAATTTTATTAAAGCTTAGATTTCCAAACAGTGAATTCTTGAAAAAATGTTGGGAAAACAGTTTTTAAAAATACAGTAGCATGAACATAAAAGTCAACACTGTGAAATCTTCAGCCATGCAAACTGTAGAGAAATTTAGAACTAGAATGCAGATTTAACAAGGGGGTAGAAAGAGCAGCCAATGGTACAAGTTTTCCAGTCAAAAAAATCACTCCCCCGAAACAGTGGATTTGCTTTTACAAACACCCCCTTGGTTGTTCCTCTTGAGGTAGGTAACCCTATTTACTGAGAGGGGAACAAGGGAGCATTCTTAGAGAATATGGGGGGTTGGGGTAAGTCTACAGTGTGGATGTCGGTCACTTTAGTGTCCACTTCTTGGAGCAGGGCTTAGGACGCTGATAAAAATCTAAATTTTGAGGTTGGACAAAGGGGCAAGGCTCGACTGCTGCCTGACACCCAGTTTCGGCAACACTGGAATCCAGCCCCAGGAGACAATTATTTTCAAATCGTGCAATCCAACATACAGAAAAGTGGTTCACAACCTTAGCTGGAAAAGGAATCATCTGGAGAGCTCAAAAAAAATGCTGATGCGTGGCTCCCACCCCCACCCCCGCAGAGACAGACTGAGTTGATCTGAGGTTTGAGTCGTCAAGTAATTCTGTGAACGGAGAACCACTGGCATAGGATTTAAACATTTTAAATAGTTTACTTCCTAGTTAATATACAGCTAGTGACAAAACATGTAGTTTTCTGGACTCCTCAGAATATTGAGCCCATACTTTCTGGCAATAAATTAAGGTAAGTAAGAAGGTCCTAAACAAAAGTTAAGTGCTAAACCTAAAAAACGAAGGAAATTTGGCAATTAGATGTGAAAAGCATCTTAACATTGCATGAAGATCAGACTGTAAAGTGTAAATTATAGTTAAAAAGCAGATCATAAAATTAGGAATGAAAAAAGTTAGGCCTTGTAGAAATCCATGGTTTCCATCAAATATGGAAACCGCACGTGGAATCATGTGTCTCCCAGGAGTCCCCTAGCCCAGTTCTGCCCACGGACCTCTCATAGCGTTTACACGCACCTTACTGGGTATTTCTTACAGGACGCTTCTTGGTCCATCGCTTTCCTCATCTAATACAGAATCAATTTTCCTTTAATTTTATAAGGTACCATGTTTACAACTCCACTAAAAGTAGAAAAAACTGAGATAAACCGTCTTAACTAAAGTACTTTTAAAAGTTCCGGTGGCTAAAGTCAGTATTTATTTTAATAACGCTTATGGATCCACTCACATTGAAGAATACGGAAAAATAATTTCCAAGAGCCGAAGAGAACAAGTTTACTGTAGCTAAGCTACTACAGTCTACCACTGGATTTTTTAAAGTGACAAAACGTGGAACAGAAGTCCGAGAAAAGTAATAAGGGCAGTTAATTAAAACGGAAGAGCTAGTGTTCTTTTTCTTTGTCAACTGAGTGTAAACTAAGACCACGGTTAACGCAAAAGCAATTTATCATAAATGCTTCACAGTATGTCACCAACTCAAGGACAAAATTTAGTTCTCATAGCACTTGCTGCTGAGTATAGCACAAAACGCTGAACTTGAGGAGCTTCCGAAACAGCTCATGTCTCAGTTTTACAACTGCTGCTCAGTTTACAGATTTCGCTGGCACAGTAAAGGAGCAGCCTTTGCCCCGCGCGCTCTGGAAAAGGCGGGCGCAGTCCTTGGCATGGCGAGCGCTGGGCCCCTGGGCCGGCTCCGTGTGGTCTCCCGACAGCGCGTCCCGGGGGCGGACTCTGCGTCCTTTCCGACGGCGCGGGCCCCAGGCCTCTCACACGGGGAGCGACTTGGTGAGGGTGGCGCCCGGTCCCAGGCGCCGAAGCGCCATGCGCAGCGCGGTGCCCGCGCCGCGGGGCAGCAAACCCAACAGCACGGCGAGCAGCGCAGCCACCTGCGCGCAGGCGCCCAGCGCCGTGAGCAACGTGCTGCGCAGACCCAGCGCCGCGTACAGCGTAGCGCCCAGCGCGGCCACGTAGAGCAGCGCGGGCCGCGACGGCGCCTCCTCGCCGCGCAGCAGGCGTCCGCACGCCGCACCGCCTCGCAGGAGCGTGCCGCCCGCTAGCGCCAGCACCGAGCCCAGCGACCACAGCAGCGCGAACTTGCGGGCGCGCAACAGCAACACTGGGGCGTAGAGTGCGGCCAGGCCGAAGCAGAGCGCGGCCAGCAGCAGGCACACGCCGCTCGCCGCCAGCCGCTGAGCGCGCGTCACGCTCGGCATGCACGTCGCTCCCGCCGCCGTCGTCGGCTCCGCGGAGTTCCGCGCCCACGTCCAGCGCAGGCCCGCGCGGCCGAGCCACGCCCCCGCCGGCCCGGCCCCGGCCGTGGGCTCCTCTGCCTCTCCCGCGTCGAGGAGCGGCTCGGCGGCTGCCGGCCCGCCCGCTTTCCCCTGCGCCAGATACTCCTGCAGTTGGCGGTGGAGGTCCGCCATCTTGGGCGGGGTGTCCGGGAAGGGGAGGGCTGCCGCCCACTTCCGGTTTTGCTCGGTCGCCGTTGGAAGCGGCTCGGCTCCGGTCGGCTGTTGGTCGGCCTTGGCGGAAGGGGCGGGGCCTGCGGCTCCGCTCCTTCAGCTGCCTCCGCTGGACCCGGGGCTTGGGACTCTGCTGGTCCCTGTGCGTTTACCCTCCCAGCCCCGGACCTTGTCCTGTGTCCGGTGTAGGCGCTATGAGGGCCTGGATAAATCATGGCAGCATTAAAAGTTAGTTGGGGGGCGTGAGTCGGTGTGGTTATAAAAGAACTTGAAGGAAACTTAACGTGTCTTGACCTTATGGATGTCAGTATCTTGTGATACTGTGTTACAGCTTTTCAAGATGTTGCTATTGGGGGAAAATGGGGAAAGGGTTCACGGGATCTACATATTTCTTAAAACCATGCTAATCTATGTCAATGAATTCAATGTTTTTAGAAGCTCAGACTGCAGGTCTTAGGTGGTTTCTTTGGGAAAGCTACAGAGGTGAAGAAGAGTTAACCCCCCCACTCCCACCAGTTTGCTTCTTTTCTCTTCCCCGTTTCAGCAGAGGCCTGGAAATATTCTTGAGTCTTTCAGGCCCCTTATCATGTATCCTTGGCCCGCCTTGCCATGCTCCTCGCACTTCTGGGTGTTCTGAGGTAGCTCCCACAGCCCTGCTCTTTTTCAGAGCCTCCTTGAAGTTCTTCAGCCAGTGGTCACGTAGGTCACAACTTTCCGGGTCTCTGCCAGGGCTTCATCCCCCTCTGGTTTCTACCTAATTCCCATTCCCGGACGTTGGATCAAGCTGCACCTCCTGCTGTTCACTCCTATTCCGCTTAGGTGCACTTTTTCTGAGTTCTCATCTGTTCTAGTTGTGAAAGTTTATTGGTTTAAGGCAGTGCCAGCAGCTGAGGACAGGTTCTCTTCTATCTCCCTTTTCCTGGGGCCTGGAAGGCTGCTGCAAAAGCACACAAACAGATGTTGACCAGATTGACACAGTTATCAATTTGTGTACAGTAAAGCTGCCTGAAAGGCTTTGTAGATACTTTTTTTAAAAAAAAATATTTATTTATTTGGTTGTGCCGAGTCTTAGCTGCAGCAGTCGGGCTCCTTGGTTGTGGCTTGCAGGCTCCCTTGCTGGCCCCTTAGTTGTGGCATGCGAACTTTTAGTTGCAGCATGTGTGTGGGATCTAGCTCCCCGACCAGGGCTTGAACCTGGGACCCCTGCATTGGGAGCGTGGAGTCTTAACCACTGCACCACCAGGGAAGTCCCCTGTAGATACTTCTTTTGTAGATGTAGAAGCCATTGGTTGAAAAACCTATTTTGCTAGACTTTATAAATGCCTGTTGTGAACGTGAACATGATGGCATGGAAGTCCTTTTGTACTGTCAAGTGCGATACAGTTAAATAATACAGCAGTCTACTCTTGTGCAAGTGTTCGGCTTACTTGCCCCAGAAGTACTGGGAGTGGAAGGCAGGGCTGACCACTCTAGGCTGTTTCCGGTATCCCTGGCTTTGGAGGCACTGCAGGAGGTGAACCCAGGATATTTCCCCCGTGTCTGCCGCTTTTGGCTGTACTGGCTTCCCCTGGGCAACTCCTGCTGATAGGCTGGTAACACCCCTTTGTTCTCTCTTCTATGGAAAGGTTGATATTAATGGCTTTCTGCTGTTGTCGTCTCTGACTTTTCAGTCTTCTTGTTACCTGTGTAACCTGTTTCCCGCATTAAATTCCCCTTAATACTCTCTGTTTTCCTGGTTGGATCTTGGCAGTTACTGTTAGTCCTGAACCAAACTTGGTTCCACTTGCCCGATGTGAGCAAAGCCAATCCACTGACACTGGATTGTGGTGGAGGAAAGCGCAGCGTTTATTGCAGGGCGCCCAGCACCATGCTCAGAGGACCCGCACTCCCCAGTGGATTTCAGGGAAGAGCTTTTAAAGACAGCGGGAGGGCGAGGGTCACAGGGTGCATGATCAGCTTGTGCACAGTTCTCTGGTTGATGGTGAGGTCAAGAGGATGATGTTTCAGGAATCTCAGTCATCAGCCTTCTGGTTCTAACAGGTCTGGGGTCTACGTGCTGGTGGTGAGCATGCAGTTAACTTCCTCCACCTAGTGGAGGTTTTAGTGTCTGCAAAACAGCTCAAGGGTATGGTTCAGGATATTGTCTACAGCCCTTGAGAAGGTAAAGGTCCTCAACTTTGTTTTATGGCTAAACTATTATTATTTTGTCTGGCTTGACCGCTTCCTGTGTTTCTTCATTTTCTCACTTTGCTCTTTGGAACTCGGGGAACACCTAGGAGGCTAAAGCTTTTCTACAAACAAGAAGTGGAGACATGGGGAGGTCTCTCCCTGGAAGGGTCCTGCTTGGTTTCAGTATGCTTTTTCAAATACATTCCAATTTGTTATCTCACGTGTGTCACCCTAAATAAAGGGGTAAACCGAGGCAAGCTTAAGTTACCAGAAATTGAACTTATTCGGGAATAGCAGAGGAATTGCATTTCGGGAAAAGCAAACTGTAGCAGCTACAAGGGAGTCTGTTGAGGTTTGGGCTGGGCTGTATTTATGAGCAAGGAGTGCCTAGAGCAGGGAGTCAAGCCAGAGTCCAAGCAGTAAGTTTGGCTTGAGGATGGGGAGAGATTTTTTTTTTAATTGGAGTATAATTGCTTTACAATGTTGTGTTAGTTTCTGCTGTGCAGTGAAGTGAATCAGCTGTATGTATACATATCTCCCCTCCCTCTTGGACCTCCCTCCCACCCCCCATCCCACCCATCTAGGTCACCACAGCACTGAGCTGAGCTCCCTGTGCTATACAGCAGGTTCCCACTAGCTACCTGTTTTACACATGGTAGTGTATTTATGTCAAATCTAATCTCCCAATTCATCCCACCCTCCCCTTCCCCCCTCCCATGTCCACATGTCTGTTCTCTACATCTGCCTTTCTATTCCTGCCTTGCAAATAGGTTCATCTGTACCATTTTTCTAGATTCCACATATATGTGTTAATATATGATATTTGTTTTTCTCTTTCTGACTGACTTCACTCTATATGACAGACTAAGTTCATCCACATCTCTACAAATGACCCAATTTCATTTCTCTTTATGGCTGAGTAATATTCCATTGTGTATATATATGTACCACATCTTCTTTATCCATTCATCTGTCGATGGACATTTAGATTGTTTCCATGTGCTGGCTATTGTAAATAGAGCTGCAGTGAACATTGGGGTACATGTGTCTTTTTAAATTATGGTTTTCTCAGGGTATATGCCCAGTAGTGGGATTGCTGGATCATATGGTAGTTCTATTTTTAGTTTTTTAAGGAACCTCCCTACTGTTCTCCATAGTGTCTGTACCAATTTACATTCTCACCACCAGTGCAAGAGGGTTCCCTTTTCTCTGCACCCTCTCCAGCATTTATTATTTGTAGATTTTCTGATGATGCCCATTCTAACTGGTGTGAGGTGATACCTCATTGTAGTTTTGATTTGCATTTCTCTAATAAGTAGTGTTGTTGAGCATCTTTTCATGTGCCTCTTGGCCATCTGTATGTCTTCTTTGCTGAAATGTCTATTTAGGTCTCCCGCCCATTTTTTGATTGGGTTGTTTGTTTTTTGATACTGAGCTGCATGAGCTGTTTGTATATTTTGGAGATTAATTCTTTGTCCTTTTCTTCATTTGCAAATATTTTCTCCCACTCTGAGGGTTGTCTTTTGGTCTTGTTTATGGTTTCCTTTGCTGTGCAAAACCTTTTAAGTTTCACTAGGTCCCATTAGCTTATTTTTGTTTTTATTTTCATTACTCTAGGAGGTGGGTCATAAAAGATCTTGCTGTGATTTATGTCAAAGAGTGTTTTTCCTATGTTTTCCTCTAAGAGTTTTATAGTGTCCAGTCTTATATTTAGATTTTTAATCCACTTTGAATTTATTTTTGTATACGGTGTTAGGTAGTGTTCTAATTTCATTCATTTACATGTTGTTGTCCAGTTTTCCCAGCACCATTTATTGAAGAGGCTGTCTTGTCTCCATGTATATTCTTGTCTCCTTTGTCATAGATTAGGTGACCATAGGTGTGTGGTTTTATCTCTGGGCTTTCTGTCTTGTACCATTGATTTATATTTCCGTTTTTGTGCCAGTACCATACTGTCTTGACTACTGTAGCTTTGTAATGTAGTCTGAAGTTGGGGAGCCTGATTCCTCCAGCTCCATTTTTCTTTTTCAAGATTGCTTTGGCTATTCAGGGTCTTTTGTGTTTCCATACAAATTGCATAATTTTTTGTTCTAGTTCTGTGAAAAATGCCACTGGTAAATTGATGGGGAGAGATTCTTGGTGAATGTTCAGTTCTGTAGCCATTAGCCACATGTAGTTTGAGCAACCTGAAAGGTGGCTGGTGAGTTGGAAGAACTTCATTTTAAATTTTAATTAATTCATTATTTATAATGAATTATATTTATACTATAACTTATATTATCAACATAATTTATAAAATATAATTTATTATAACATAGCATCATTATATGATCAAATTGATAAGAGCCACATGTGGCCAGTGGCTTCTGTATTGGACAGCACAGCTTGGAGCACGTTGGAAACATGGGCATTTTGGTTATCACTGTGACCAGCGGGCACCGGAGGCATTTGTTCTACAGTGCCTGCAATGTCAGGCTTTGGTGAAAGTCAGAGCGTCTGGGCTGGGATGGCTTGTTCTTCCACAGGGGTTCTGGCAGAGCCGTCTGATCTGAGAACACAGTGTTTTCTGAGCTCAGCTCTGCAGACCTCGCTGCCTGCTCCGTGGCAGGGTTGCTTGAGTCGGGGCCCTCCCCTGGGGGAAACCAGGGAAGCAGGCCCTCCTACACAGGAGGTCCTTGTGCGTAATGAGGGCCCATCACAGTGTGTCTCACTGTGGAGCAGGGCTTTGTGTGTCCAGCTCGCTTAACCTGAGAGACATCCTTGTGCTGTTTCCTTGGGTAGCCACCCTGGGCACCGGCGCCCTCGCTGGGTGTCATGGGGCAGCGAGGTGGCACTGCCGAGTCCCAAAGGAGGGCTGAGGGGAGACTCAAGCTGAGGTGAGGGCCCTTTCTGTGGCCCGGCCGTGACCATAGCTGCCCTGGTGCACCGCACCTCTTGCCGCTGTCAAAGGATTCATCAGGACGTCTTATTTGCCACTTGCAGCTTGGTCTGACTGTAGCCCAGCAGAGGGCTCAGAGGGGCGGTGGTCAGGGTGCTGGTTTAACCCTCCCCACCTGTCCCTCCACCCACTGATCCCAAAGACTGGACCTTGGGGGTCATTTCCCACTCGGAGCCCCAGGGTGGAGGTGGGACCTGGTCACCTGGAAGGGGCCCACGGTTCTCCCTGTGTCCCAGGCTCGGTGGGCACGGAAGAAGCAGGGTGATCTGTGTGGGGGCCTGAGAGCACAGGATGCCGGGGGACCAGGAGCACAGCCCCCCACCGACAGGACACGGGAGCAGAAGACGTGACAGTGTGGCTGTTGGCGGTGCCCGGCTGGGACAGCCCCGGGGTGCAGAGCTGCCGGAGGCGCGGCCCAGCCAGGGGCAGAGGAGCACCCAGTGGGCTGCGCGGCCAGCGACTGCGCTCGGGAAGTGTGTGTGTGTGTGTGTGTGTGTTCTAGGACTTGCTGAGGTGGGGCTTTGGGCGTGTGGATGTGTGACCGTAGAGCAGTTAATTCAGTTAGTCTCAGTCCTTGTACTGTGCTCTTCCTAGGCCTCTTCCGGTATACCAGCCACAAGCTCTGTAATCTCACTATTGTCCAATTAATAGCCTGTGAAATCCTGACGTTTTCCTTGAACTTAAGTGAACACAAGTACATACAAATTGTTTTCTTATTTTGCAGTATTATTGAAAAAATTGTGTCAGAAACCTTTGTACATTTACATTTTATCTAAAACGGTTACTAATTTAGAATTTAACATTTTATGCTCAAGTAAACAAAATGTATTTATACTAATTTTTTATATTTTAAGATGGATTTTTGACTGTAAAATAGGAGGCATGCTTTCTCAACCTACAGTTGCACCATCTACATCTAAAGATGCTGAAAAAGGGAGTTCCCTTCTTTTTGGGTGGTTAGGATTCTGGGCTTTCACTGTGGTGGCC